TGATCTTCAAACGAGCCACATACATCTGAATATACTACTTCTAGTATGCAAGAAGACCTTATTAGCATAGTTGAAATGAAAGACTTTCTGGATTGCTTCCCTACTAAGCAACCTTCACAGAGTTTGTCGGGAATCTGAAGACTTGGTATATCAGTTATCATATCTTTAGCAATTAGTTGATTGAGGGACCTAAAATTTAAGTGGCCAAACCTCAAATGCCACAGCCAACTATTCTTGTGGTCGTCAACTATTTTGAGGCATTGCACCTCAGTTGAATTGATCAAGGTCTTAAATGTCCTATTCTTCGACAAAGGATATTTTAATACCAAACTATTCTAGGTGGAGCAATTTAAAGGCTCTATCTTTCATAACCATTGACAAACCTTTTTCGACTAGTTTCCTAACACTTAGCAGGTTGCGCATTATTCCAAGTACATAAATACATATTTGACCATAGCTTTTGCTCCATTTCTCCTTTCAATAACTATGTTGCTAGTACCTTCTTCTTGCAATGAGTTATTATCAGCAGGTTTGACCTTGCTCTTCTTCGACTCGTAAAAATCTGCCAACCACACTTTCCTACCAATCATGTGATTCGAGCAACCTATGTCAAGGAACCATATTTTGAAGTCGACATGGTCATCTTCAACTGCACCCATAATCGCCATATCTTTGTAATCATTTAAATTTTGGCGTGCAAGGTTTGCTCCATCCTCCTTGCCTTTTGTCGTTTCCTTGTCTTTCTTGTACCAATAATTCTTGGCCATGTGACCCCATTTTTCACAGTTATAGCACTACACACTTTTTTTCTCTTCTTTGTCTTTCTGATAGGAGTTTCCTTATCCTCTTTTGGAGGATTCAAAAGCCCTATCATCTAACTTATGCTTTTGAAGGTTCGACCAAGACTTCTTACTCTGAGTCTTGTCTACTTTGCCCTTGAACTTGTTGGAACCGCCATGTTTCTTCCATGTATGAACCTGTAATGCTTGTATCAAATCTTAAACACATTTTCTTTCGATAATGATTGCCTTATGTGCCTCTAGCGAACCAACCAAATCTTCCAGTTTAATGATTTCAAGATTGTTGGATTCTTGAATGGCTACGATAACGTGATTAAAGTGAGTTCAACGTACGTATTACCTTCTCAACTATCATCTTATCAGTTAGGGTTTGACCACAATCTTTCATGAGATGGACTAGATTATGCACCTTTGAGACATAGCCTGCAATTTTTTCTTCTTCTCCCATCTGCAGTAATTCATATTGTCTTCGCAACTTCTGCAATTTGACGACTTTAACCTTCTCACTTTCTTCGTAATACTTGACAAGAATATCACATGCTTCATTCACCGATTCAGCATGAGAAATCCAATCAAAGTTTTTGTCGTCAAGAATTGGAAGAGAATTCGAAATGCCTTTGGTACTTTTCATCTCTACAACTACTACGGTTCACGATCCCCAAAAACATGACCACCAACGTGATGTTCTTGAACACACAATCAAGAACACAAACAAAAAATTATAGATACTAACTTGTTAATCTGTGAGACACATTGAATGAGAGAAGGAATGAGAAAGAGAATGAAAAGTAATTGATGAATTATTATTATTATTGAAAGTTATATAAAATTAAATTACAAATAAAATTATATATATATATATATATATATATATATATATATATATATATATATATATATATATATATATATATATATATATATATATATATATATATATATATATGACTCTTAAAAATAACATATACACATTGTTAATGTCAAAAGCAACCGAGGACAAATTGTTAACGTGATAACTTTGCAAATACTAAGTCTAAGCAATAAGTCAACAATATATACAGTGAAAAGAGATTACTTTTTGACGGGTAAAAAAGGAGTTGTGACTATGTGAATTATTGAATGATTCTCAAGCTGAATTTTCATCAACATTTTAGTTTTAATACATACATGTAAAGTGAAACGTGTCAATTGCAAACATTATAAACATAGTGAATTTTCTCTGTCTTTGGTCAATTTGGAAGTTACGCTGAAATTAACAAATAGTTACAAGACAACAAATATATAATATTCAATCACTTGCACCATAAATATACATATTTCACAATTTTCTTGCACCAGAAATGGCTTCCTCTACCCTTTACATGATTTTCATTCTCTTTCTTCAACTTATGTTAGTCCATGGAAACATTGCTCCAATCTCAACACTCATCGCCGCCACCAACAGCAATAACAATTCATGGCTATCACCTTCTGGCGACTTCGCCTTCGGATTTCGCCAACTGAACACCTCAACAAAACCTTTCATGCTTGCAATATGGTACAACAAAATACCTGATAAAACCATTGTTTGGACTGCCAGAGACACGAACAACGACAACAATCTCTTACAAGCACCAACAGGATCAAAGATTCAGTTAACATCAGGAGGACTTACTTTGACAACTCCACAAGATGCAACCATTTGGACAGCACAGCCAAACACTGTTGTTTCCTATGGAAACATGCTTGACACTGGAAACTTTGTTCTTGTAAACAACAATTCAACTGTTTGGGAAAGTTTCGAGTTTCCTACGGATACCCTTTTGCCTAATCAATCTCTCGGGTTAAGTAATACCTTAACTTCGAGATTCTCAGATGACAATTTTACATGTGGAAGGTTCCAGTTTTATTTTAATGATTCTGATAAAAATCTCATGTTAAGTCCACTTGCATGGCCTACTCAATTCCGTTACCAATCTTACTATAAAATCGATGTTCCTAACTCGGCTTCTTCGAGTTTGGTTTTTAATGAATCAGGAGATATTTATGTGGAAACAAATAATGGGACTAGAATGAAACCACATGGTGCACAGTGGGGAAATTTGGATTCTGATCCTAAGTTGTATTATTATAGAGCAACACTTGATTATTATGGAGTTTTCACTCAATATTCACATCCAAGAGACACAAAGGCAAAGCAAGGATGGACTATTGTGAGGTATGTTCCGGAGAACATTTGCAGTGGCGTGACCAATGAAATGGGTGGTGGTTCTTGTGGTTATAATAGCTATTGCTCCATGGACAATCAGAGACCTACTTGTAAATGTCCTTATGGTTACTCACTGATAGATCCGAGTAATCGATTTGGCGGGTGTCGACTGAACTTCACACTTGGTTGTGGAGCTGATAATGGCGAAGGATTGAATGTGAAGCAAGAAGATTTATATGAGTTTACTGAACTTAGAGGTGTAAATTGGCCTTTATCAGATTATGAAAAGCTGCAACCTTATTCTCAACAGGAGTGTCAACAATCTTGTTTGCATGATTGTATTTGTGATGTTGCTGTTTTCAATGACCAAACTTGTTGGAAGAAAAAATCGCCTCTTGTCAATGGAAGAGAAGAAAATGGTGGCCATGTAGTACTTATTAAAACAAGAGCTTCTCCTCTTGGTAAAATAGATACTAGTCCTTCCACTGACTCGAAAAAAGACGATGTTAAGCCAGTTCTTCGAGGACTACTTATTGGTTCGGCTGTCTTCAATAGCATACTCTTGGCTGCGATTGCTTTTGTGATTTTGTTGAAGCCGAAAAGGGTTGTTGCCCAGGGTGCGACTCTCTTGGAAACAAATTTATGTTCCATTAGTTATGACGCGTTAAAAGAAGCTACGCAGGGTTTTAGTGAAGAACTAGGTAGAGGTTCCTTTGGAATTGTTTACAAAGGTGAATTAAAAGCAGCAGCATCTTATAATGTTGTTGCTGTTAAGAGATTGGATCGGTTAGCACAAGACCGCGATAAGGAATTCAAGACCGAGTTGAGTGCCATTGGTAAAACCTGCCACAAAAACTTGGTAAGGTTGATTGGATTTTGTGATGAGGGAATCCATAGAATGTTGGTGTATGAGTACATGAGCAATGGCAGTCTTGCAGATATCTTGTTTGGACAAACCAAACCCATGTGGAATCAAAGGGTTGGATTTGCTTTGGGGATTGCTAGAGGGTTGGTGTATTTACACGAAGAGTGCGACATTCCCATCATTCATTGTGACATAAAACCTCAAAATATACTCATAGATGAGAACTTTACAGCTAAGATCTCTGATTTTGGACTGGCCAAGTTGTTATTGGCCGATCAGAGTAGAACGAATACAATGGTCCGCGGAACACGAGGATATGTGGCTCCTGAATGGTTCAAGAATGTTCCTGTGACAGCTAAAGTGGATGTTTACAGCTTTGGCGCCATGTTGTTGGAAATTGTTTGCTGCAGAAAAAATGTGGTGCTGATGGAATCGGGGGAGGAAGAGAAGACAATATTGGCAGATTGGGCTTGTAATTGCTATATTGAAGGGAGAATAGATGCTCTTGTGGAGAACGATCAAGAGGCCTTGGATGACATTGAAAGGTTAGAAAAGTGGATAAAGATAGCAATTTGGTGCATTCTTGAGCATCCTGAAACTAGGCCAACGATGAGGATAGTCGTGCAAATGCTAGAAGGTGTTGTTCAAGTCCCTAACCCACCATCACCTTTCTCCTTCAGTTCAATTCCTTGACTCCAATGCCTTCGAGCCTGAAAGATATCAACAGAGGGAGAAGGAGGACCTCGCATATACCAATACCAATTCCTTTATAGAATGTTAATGATTATCTTCTGTTATGATTCCTTATTTATTTGTATAGTTCCTGCATAATGAATACCGTCCAACCCAATATTGTTGTCATTATTTCAAATCTTTGATGTTATTCAAGGTGTTGTCTTATTCCGAATCATTTTCAAATCAATGTTAATAGTTCATGAGCATAACCAACAAGTTCCAGATCAAAACTAACCAAAATTATTCAACAAACATAACACAACCCTCTCAACCAATGTAAGAGTAATACAAGATGGTATGTGTAATACACCCCTAATGTTTCAGTAATTTTAGTTTCCATAATGCTACATAGAACTTACTACTTTCATAGACAACCAATATGATACAGCATTTGAGAAATGAGCCAACTTGGTCATTGAGGGGAGACCTTTTCAACCTTGTGAACCCATCGCTCGAGCCTAAGTTGCTTCAAAGCAGGCCCTTTATCCGGTTTACGTTTCTGTGGGCATTGCCATTTCCCTGTAATCTCAATAGCATTAGATTGTTGAAGATTTGTTGTTTCTGTCAATGCCTTTCTCTTTGCAACATTGCGCTTTTCACATGTCTGTGGATTTATTCCTGTACTTGATGAACACTGCAATGTCTTCTTTTCTGGTTTCTTCCAAGAATTTTCATCATTTTCTCGGGTGATACTTTTCTTTCTTGTTGTAACAAAACCGTCATTTTCTTTATTTCCTGTACAAGCTGAGCTTCCTGCCAAAAAGCTTTTCGATAAACTTCTGTTAATGTCAAGTTTCTCAGCTTGGATTTCAACTTTTGATTTTGCTTCTTCTGTGCCATGCTTTTGTGCCGGATTTGGAGTTCTCATTGCCCCTGCATGAGTGTCCAATGACATTAAATGTGCTTCTCCATTACAACCAGGACTTCCATGATTCCGGTTCACTGTCTCATTATGCTTGGTTGAACCAAGATTGTGCTGCAGTGCCTTAACTTGCATGCATGGCTGCAAAATCTTTTCCAAATGAGGAGTATTTGCAGTATTTATATTTTTCTTCATTCCAGCAGTATCATCAAAAGAGCTATTGTGTTTGACACAAATTTCCGGCTGCACAATCTCAGACTTGGTTTCATCCTTACTTGTGACTTTAAAATCAAACCTCTCCTCCACACACTTATTCCTGTCAGAAACTTCTTCATCATTTAAAAGACTACATGTATCAAACGCTGAAGACTCGTAATTGTAGCTTGAGAACCAGTTTCTGATATTTGGAGGCTCTGGATTTAAGGGGACAAAACACAGACACACATGCAATCACTATTAGCTAGTAGAAATAAATAAAGAATTGAAGATAAATGTTTATAACAGCCAAATTATACATCCTTTCAACAAAAAAGTAATTCTAAAAGAAGCATCAAAAGTACAAACCAGACAAGAGTGAGCATGAACTGCAAGAATCCATATTCTGTAAAGAAAATTTCAAGCAACAAAAAGTAATCAGGAAAATAATGTAAAATCTCTATTAGCTTAAACCCTGAGAGTCTAACTTTTATAACATCCTACTAACACCTATAGCATGTTTCTCCTTGTACTTTTAGCCAAAACAATAATTTTACAAAACTCTTTCAATATTTTCATTAGCATTAATGTTTCAGATTCAAAATGAAAAGCAGAGTAAGATATTTACCTTGGTGAAACACGGATCTTCATTATGATTATTATCTTTAACACAAGTCCCATTACATTGTACTAGCTTCTCTCTAACAGCCTCTTCCTGTTCTTCATCTACATGCTGGGATTTGCGCTTTCCAAAACAGGATTCTTCGAGAGTGAAATTGGAATCCAGATTTGGAGACTGATATTCATAGCTTGAGAACCAATTTCCAACATCGGGAGGCTCTGAAACACAAATCAAAATGAAACTATTTTTTAGGTTTAAAAATTAGAACCCTCGAAATTATTCATTCTTAATCGCAATTCAGGTATTTCATTCTAGTAAGATATGGATACAAACCAGAAGGGCACGAAAGCGACGACATTGACAGAGTTGGAAGCTGGAAGAGAGGGAAATGATGGATTTAGTGTTAAAATCACTTTTCCTTTGGGGATTTTCGTCTTGTTGAAAATTTTGAAATTTTCGCGCTGCAAAAATGGCGCTAACTTTTTTTCATTTTTTTTTTTTCGAATTTGGCTTTCATTCATTTTTTTATGGTTAATATTTATGGCTCTTTTTAGTTCTCAATGCCCATTAGTTCGACTAATTTAATTTATGGGTCAGTTTTATAATTAAATCAATTACTACTAAACGAATTATTGATTATGACTCAATAATTTTGGACTAGCAATTTTTAGAATAATATTTTTAAAAATATAATGATAGAAAACTCATTTTCCGAGTATATTTTAGAAAAAATGTTTGCCACGTAATTTAAGATTTTTGATAAAATTAATGTTATTTTATTAAAAAATAATTAATGGTTTATTATTTAATATAAAAATCATTTCTTTTAAAAAATGATTTTTCTTTTCTTCTTGAATGTAAATGATTTATTTTAATTATAAAATTATTAAAAAGCACATACAAATACAAATGATTGTACATGGTTATGAATAAATAATTTTATATGATTTTTTAAAATATTTTTTTGTTGTAAATCTGTCTTAAAACCTTTGTTGATTAAGAGAAAGAAAACATATTTTGCAAATTATATTTATCGCAAAAATCGGACGAAAAGTCGAGAAAAAAATCGGTTGGTGAATAGTGATATCCGTATGGATGAATAGTAACGTCCGTAAGGTGAATAGTGATATCCGTATGGATGAATAGTGCAGTCCGTAAGATGAATAGTGATATTTGTATGGATGAATAGCAACGTCCGTACAGTGAATAGTATTTTCGAGATTTGAGGCTTTTTCGATTCGGTCCATGTATCCATGTGATTTTGGGTTTTGTTTGTTGCGTATTTGTTATTATAAATATGTATCTCTTATATGTTTGGTGTGTGACAATCTTAGAGTTTTCACCAACAAGGGAGACCAAGGGTTTAAAGGTATAGCATAGGTTTCAGCTAAGCACAAAGAAAACCTTGGATTACACCTTGGGTTTGAGTGAGATTCCACCTTGGGTATATTGAGAGTCGGAGATTCCACCTTGGATTTGAGTGATTCATTTGTAATCTTTTGTAACAACTTTCTGAGTACAGTGAATCGTTTGATCGAATTGGGTAAACAAACCTTCGATTTTTTCTTGTCTTATTCTGTTATATTATCTGTGTACGGATTATTATTGCTGAAGACCATTTATTTTGGTTGTTATTGTTCTTTACCTCACAAATTGATATTGAATTTTTTCGTAATTCAAAACAAGATTCACAATATTTTTGTTGTCCTTATGGCACATATTAGCATTACCTAAGGTGCAGTGGCGAAGTCACGGCTTAGCCAGGTAGGACAGTTGCCTAGACTCAACCGTCAGCGCCACGGAACTCTTCTCTCCCTTAACACGATGAACAAGACTAGATTCACAACAATTATGGAACCTAACTTCTCTCTGCAACCTCTATCTGATCATCAACACTCGAAAAACGAAGAGAATCAGAAGCCATTGAAATCGGCTACACTTATTCAAAGTCAAAGAAACCCTGCCGTTTATAGCGCACTCGCATCCACCAAGTAACAGTTTCGAGCAATTACATCTCAACAACAACGACCACTTTTCTCAAGTAACTATTTTGTTTAAGAACATTAATGCGTTTTGAGTATTATTCTGTTACGGTTCCTTTTACATCGCGTGTATATATTGACTTTATGGGTGTGAACTCTGTGGATGTTGTTAAGACGTTACACTGTGTATACCGTTTCAATTGTGATAATGATACAACTTGGTTTCTTGTTTTGAATCTTGTGTTTGCTAATGTGTACCAACTTTTTGTTCAAATGTCTGAATGAATATCTTTGTACAGAGAAATAAGCCATTTTTATGATCCTCGTCACGCGGTCCTTCATTTGAATCATGCGAGCCCTCGTTTTGGGCGACTCTTCTGACAATTATTTCCTCATCGTCGTGAAATTGTCGAATTAGCACTATTATGTCGCACCTTCCTCTGTCGTGGTCCTTATTTCCTCGTATGGTCATCTTCATATTTAGAAGCACATCATTTGATAATAAATAGATTAGAACTATTGATTACTATTGAATTTTATACCTTTCTAAGTTGGAAGATTTTGTGAAATTTCGATTCTGAAAGCATATTTTAAGATACAGAGACATTAATACTACTTAATAATTTTGTTATTATTACTAAAACAATATTTTACAGGCTACATGATGCAGAAATAGAAGCGATAGATGTGCTCTTAAAACAGTGGTAGAAAAATGGACTTTCAATGATTGCAGTTGCTAAAAAAATTTCAAACTACAGTCTATATGTTACCTGGAACCATACATAATGTGTGCACAGCTTTATCAAATTTAGATATTTTCCTTCGTATCATCGATTGTTCAATCTATATTACTATCTGTCTTAATGTTATCCTTTCTGATTCAATAATTTGTGATTTAGGAATTACGTAGACTCAAAGTTCATTCAAAATGAGCATATTGCTAGAGTCAAATACGAGTGTTTGTTTTTCGGTAAAATGCATACTCATGCTTGTTTTATAAATTTAAATCTTCGCTTTCATCTTTATTATTTAGATTTTCATAAATAAATGGACTAGTAGTATTGATTTTTGTTATACATGTTGGTAACAACATATATGGATGCAGGCACGGATCTACGTCCATGATATTGGGGACAACTGTCTCCACTAAATTATTTATACTATTATAAATTAATTTAAAATATGTATTTTTCATATGATAAAACACAAGTAATGTACCCACTAAAAAATCAGTATTTGTGTATTTTAAGAATTAAATATTCTTAAATAATTAAACGGTTGTTTTGTTAGATATTAAAAATAAAAACAAAAGAACAATTATTCAATAATTTCAAAATAGAATTATTTATTATAAAAAATTATATGTTTAAGTATATTTCATTTTTTTAATATAGAATAATAATGTTTTGATAGATTTAACTTTTGTACACATTGATATATGGTTTCACATTGATATATTTTTTATATAAATATTTATAATAGTATATACATTTTGCGCCAATTGATCAAGATTTATGAGTTCGTCCTGGCTGGACCTCACCATGAAATATGAATGTCTAACTCTAACCTATATTAGTGTAGTACTTATTGCATTTTCTTTCTGCATGTAACTTCAAATGAGATGATTTTGGAGTTGTTTACCAATAAAATATGGTGTGACCACCATCATTTAAATAACATTTAATGTAACAACCACATGATTTTTATCAAAAAAAAAAATTGGAAAAATAAGACATACGTTATTCAACTAACAGTTAGTGGTATTAGATTTTTGTTAAGCCAATTTTTCCTTTGACACGCACCTCATGTGCAGGCACGGATCAACGTCCACGGTATTAGGGCAACTGCCCCACTAAATTATTTATGCTATTATAAATTAATTTAAAATATTTATTTTTCACATGATGAAACACAAGTAATAGCCTCACTAAAAAAAATCAGTATTTGTGTATTTTAAGAATTAAATATTCTTAAATAATTAAACGGTTGTTTTGTTAGATATTAAAAATAAAAACAAAAGAAAAATTATTCAATAATTTCAAAATAGAATTATTTATAATAAAAAATTATATATTTAAGTATCTTTGATTTTTTTTAATATAGAATAATAAAGTTTTGATAGTTTTAACTTTTTTACACAATGATATATGATTTCACATTGATATATTTTTTATATAAATATTTATAATAGTATATACATTTTGCCCCCATGAATCAAGATTTCTAAATTCTTTCCTGTGTGGATGACACCCTCTATCCATTGAACTTAGGAATCAATTTGGCATGTCGAATATTATAGGTATAGAGTCTACAAACACATATACTCTAGTATCCATATATATATATATATATATATATATATATATATATATATATATATATATATATATATATATATATATATATATATATATATATATATATATATATATATATATATATATATATATATATATATATATATATATATATATATATATATATATATATATATATATATATATATATATATATATAAAATGTAATAGAAGTACTATAGTTAAAATAAATCATGTTTGCATAGTATATGTTAGAACACTTTGCATATTGAAGAAAGTAAAGTATCAAAGATGTGTCTTGATTTGCATTTGAAACATGAAACAACTAATGAAGGTATGCATATTTGACATTAATTTTAGCGAGGCAATTGTTCTCTTGAAATGGAATGAAGATATGCATATTTGCGGTCTTTAAATTTTTGTTCAGACTTCATAATTTTTCTAACTCTGCCATCGAACATGTACCCTAAGATTACATGTTAAGAACTAAATAAAAAAATTTATTTTAAAAATTATGTATTGAATTTATTATATATATATATATATATATATAATTAATTTTTTAATTTTATTTTTTTAAAACAAACTTTCTATTTTTAGGTTTCTTAACATCATATTAAATTATAATCCTATAACTTTTCAATTAAAATTTCCCTCCAAAACCTTTTTCCTATTATTCTACTTATTAATTCATTAATAATTAAATAAAATAAATTTATTCTGTTAATTTATCTATTAATTAATTGATATTAAAAGCCCACTAAAACATTACACATCTTAAATACAACCATACCATAATCCACTAAGACAGATACAGAGTAACCACACCTCCATGATGGAAAAATTGCACAAGGAATAAAGGTTTTTTTTAGTTATGTTGTTCAAATTTTCTTTTTCAATATTTTTCTATTATGTTTATTTTCATTTATGTGATAATTCTTTTATGTTAGTTCAATATGAGATTTTCAAAACTCATCCTTGATTTTTTTTAGGGTGTGTTTTATTTAAGACGGGACATAAATAATAGTTGCCTTTTATGTATTAAATTATTAATTCAT